ATTTTCCTAAACTCTCCCAACTACCTACCCCTCATCCGGAGAAATTCTCCACTTTTTACTCGAAAATTTCATCGTAGAACGGAGGGGACTTTTAACACGGGAGTTGGTACTTTCTAGAAATTCTTTTTCCTAGTTTATTCATCATTTGTTCTGGATGATTTCGTTTTGCCATGTCCAGTTTGACTTTATAGAGGTACTTGAAAATGAATGGAGAGGAACTGGAGGCTCCTCCCCCCCCCCCATTAAAGAGCTAGCTCATCATTTCTACGGAAACAGTGATCTACAGTCTTATTCGCTGCAGATGATGAGGCGTGTCAGGAGGTTGGGTTTCGTTTTCCATCAGTTTTTGAAGCGGGCAAGCTACAAAAACGCATCATATCGGCCGTATCACTAGTTTTCCAAAGATTGTTGTCGATTGCCTGCTCCAACAACGGGTGGAGAACGGGCTGGTGCTGCGAATAACCCAGCACCCAAGCATCCGCAGCGAAAAAGCCGTGACTTGTTGATCGCAATTGACCATAGTTGACGGTAGTTGCCTTATTTTTGGCATTGAACAGATCTGCTACGATGATATCTGACCTGTGAAGTTATAGCCTGCTCCACATAGTAGTTATTTATGTGATTATTTATCGTTCCAGATGTGCGCAGCTATATATTCGTTGGTCCGAAGATCTGGAGATGCGTGGTGCGATAGCAGACGCGAGAGCGGTGTTGCGTCGTGCAAGACGAAATGGGGCGCTGCCACCGGAAGCGATAGACAATGCCGAGGACCAGCTGGAACTGCGAGAGGTTCGACGTCACCTGCAGAGAGAGAATGGCGACGATTCATGGGATGAGGACGATGCCCTAGACGAAAATGGCGAACGAGTGGCGTTCACCCGACTTGACAGGTGTCTATTTGGCCTTTGCAAGGGAAATCTGGCCTGAAATATGTTCAAAAAGCGATTAAATAGCATTTTGGTGTTGTGGGCGCATTCAGAAATAACAATTGTCTATGTAGACATATTTGCAAAACATTCGATCAGGATGAGATTCGAACTCACGCGGGGAAACCCCAATGGATTAGCAGTCCATCGCCTTAACCACTCGGCCACCTGATCACGGCGGTGTGAGGCCGCCGCGTGGTTTATGATTCTACGCGAATCATATTGGCCGACACCGAGTAAATCATGGATGGTTCCTGATAAACCGTTATCTAATCAGATTCGGGGTAGCGAAGGTTTTCCAGAGGGTTAGTGTGCGGGCTTGAAGGAGGCACGCTATTAATAGCGCTGTCGATGCTGTAAGCAAAAACGTCCAGTCTACGCCGCCATATTTGTTTGTTTTTATATTTTTTGTTTATTTTTCAGTACCCGCTGGCCATATTATCGGCATTGCAATTGCACATCTAAAGGCGCTGTATATTTCATGCAGGGGGACAGATACAACACGTGCAAGTCTCATGTCCCATAAAAGTCTAATGTTAGGCATACGATTTGCGTCTGGTAAAGCTATAAGGTCTTTTATTGAAAAACGTGAATTGTGGATAGATTATCCACTGAGAAAGTACCGAAGCTGATTTTTCCTGATTTTTCAGTTTCCTATAACTTTTCTTTGGGTTATTCATCGGAAAAAAAACTGCCCTATGCGCGAGGGGTGTGGGGTATAACGTAATAGGATCGGAAAAGCCGAGAAAAGTCAACAACCGAAAACATCTTTCTCAGAAGCAAATACGACTCCCTCCTTCTAGCGTCCAAAAACTACCTCTTTCCCGCCTGCCACCGAAAACGAGCTCCATCGCTAGAGGTTTTCAACATACGACGTGCTCTGCAATCCCCCCCCCCCCCTTCCTCTCCCACCTCCCCATTTCACCTGTCCAGAATCTTCGCTTGCATTTTACTTTTACTTTACCATCTTCAATCAAGCAGCAGCAAATCAGATGACATGCTAGATGCTTGGCTAAAACAGTGGTTATATAAGGTTCAAGCAAAAGCAATCAATCCCGCTGGGATGCGCCACGCTTTTGTGTTCTACGTAAAGTTGCGCAGGTTCGACTGAAAGCGTAATTGACATTTACAGTAATTGAAGGGCCAGTTTGACTTGAGGGGGTGCTTCACTTACCATGTAGAATTCTCTACCAAATGAAATATTTCGAAAAATTGACACTTCTGGTTGATTTAACCTGGGACGACGGGGATGGTGCCATGACAGGAAGCGCCACAGCCGTACTTATGGCGTTGGATCGGATTTATAATCAGATGGTGCTTAAATCACTTGAACCCTTGATTCGTTCGGATTACTTCATCTTCGCAACAACCTATGTCCGTCGGCTGGCATCTGAAAGTAATTCTGTAGGCCACGTCGTATACGCAACGATTCTGAACAGGGCCAGGGCCACGTGGTACGTTGCGGGTCCCAATCGGGGGGGGAAGGGGTGTCGTGTTTGCCTTGTGCACTATATACCACCCCCCTCCGTTCTACGGGAGTTTTCTTTGGGAAATGGAGAATTTTGCGAAAAAAAATTCTGCAGAATTAGTAAGAAGACGGGAAAATTTAGGAATGGAAGGTAGGATGCGGTATGGAGAAGGAGAGAGTTGTACCAGAGGAGGGAAATTTGAGGGAGATTCGGATTTCGCAAAAATGTTCCTTATCGGCAAGGCATACCCTGATTCTGGATGAAGGTCCAATGCATTTTTATTTCAAAGAAGGAGTTCTCAGTGCCAAAAGTTTTGTCAACGCTGCTCGGCTTAGGAGTGGGCGTTTTGCATCGCCAGTTCATGGTGACAGACAAGTCTAACCATTTTGTGCCCCCACCAAGCCTAATTGTGTTTTATTCTCCATCTTTCAAAAATCTTAGTTTTAATGAATCGCAATATGTTTCAGTTGTCGGAGACTCATCGGAGGCTCCAGTTGTCCGCCTACCTTGCATTGTTGGCGAGCAAGGCAGCAGCAAACTAGATCGAGGTCAACCGAAACAGAAACCTGTCAACAACGGTGTGCCGGCATTCCAGGTGATTGACATAATCTCGGTAAAAATTCGTAGGGTCCCAGCACTTATAGGTGTATGAGGTCCGGTTCCTTCACTTTTGTTTTCATTCCTCGGATGTTTGCACTTTTCAGTTTCAATGACGAAAAAGCTTAGCAAAAGGAGCTAAGAAGTTAAAATGCAATTAATCGTTGATTTAAAAAAAATTTCGCGCAACGTTCGCCGTTTCAGATTTTTGAGGATGATGGAGATGGCGCTGACAATTATCTAGAAGAAATCTTCGAAATGGATAATCACATAGAACGCTTTTCCCTCAACGATCACAACGCAGAGAAATGGAAAGCTAGCAAGGTACTTCAGTTGCAAAAATAAGGAAGTCTCTCTGCAAATAGAGTCTATGCCAGGACATTGAGAGGGCGTGGCCATGGACTTAGTTATGTGTGCCGTGGTGATAGATTGTTACTGGTTGAGTAGCGCGTGGAATAAGCATAGGGTGCAGGCGGTATTGGAAACTGTTGGCAACTGTGCTTGGCTACCGTCAACAGATATGCAGCGGCTCCTGCCCCCACACAGCCAGAGCAGAGCGGTGGACGTCGGGTATAAGCAGAAGCGGCAATAGTGACGAAATCAGGGTGGTATATTTTTTAACTGATCAATATTTATACCGCTTTTGTGTCCATGACATGCTCTCGCATACACTCCATTTTACGGAGATGAGGAGGGTGTGGCTGAAGATGCGTTTTTGATGAGAATATTGCCGTCTTGGGACAACTCTAATTGTCTTTATCTAGCACAAAACAGAATGACAATTGCCTGGAATGGAATTCTTACACGAAAAAAGCATACTCCGAAATGTTCAAGTGAAGTGTCGAGCCACGCCCTACCCATCTCTGGGCTACAGTTCCGTTCGTTGCCGACGTGTCAGAGGTGCTGGCCTTGGCGCGGCGCGAACCCATTCTCCACCGATTGTGGAAGCTGACAGGCGGTCACAATAGGTTGAAAACTGGCTGGCGCTATGTCAAATCCACCCCCCCCGCCCCACCCTCTGACACGTCGGCAGAGCGAGGCTGTATGTAGTGTATGCAGGGTACAGCATCGTTGTGCGAAACCCATAGGGGGGGGTCGTACTTGGCCGCTGGGGAGGGGGGTCGTAATCTCAAGGGTCACTCAGAGCCGGGCAATGCTTCGACATTTCAGTTGATAGTGGGAGTGGAGCTATGGAAGTCAAGATG